CTTATATATTGGAAGCAGACTACACCCCTAAGGCAGCTGCTCACAGTAGACTCCACCATGGTGATGACCAGCCTCGTCATGGGGAGTCATTACATCCAGCCACCCAGGCACTCAGAAACAGGCCCAGCCAAGCTGACATATAACCAAAATTACCACACACACACACACACACACGGCTGCCGTGCACTATTTTCTGCATTACTAGCAAGCTATCCAATCCCCGTGGGGGCCACAAGCACCTTATTTGCGTAGTCCCAGCCATGCTTTTGGTGGGAGTATTCTGGAGTGCAGCTCGAAGGGTCCAGGCAGTCATTCACTGGACCACGGGGGCACTCCGACACATGGGTCCTCCGTGAGTCAGAATCAACGCCAAGCAGCTGCTGGCTTCTGGGGTTCGAGTCCTCATTTACCAAACCAGACCCGCTGCTGTGTCAACTTCGACTAACAGCACCCCCTACAGGGCAGAGAATTGTTCCATGGGGTTCCCAAGGCTGTCAGTTTTCAGGGAAGTGTGACAGTTAACGGTGCGTGTCAACTTGGCTGGGCCGTGGTCAGAACCACAGCTGGGCAGCTGCATGCAGTAACCCTTCATGACGAGACTGGAACTCACCTCCATGGTGGAATCTGCTGTGAACAGCTGAATAGCTGCCTCTGGGGTGTGGGCTGCTTCCAGTGCATAAGGAGCAGCTTTGGGGAAGGCTCTGGCTTTATGGCACATTTTGGATCCTGCATTTGGCTGAGTCTTTTAGCATCTGACTGCTAACCAGAAGGCTGGCAGTTCAGACCCACCAGCCACTCCTCAGAGGGCAGTCTAATTCCATAGAGATGTTGTGCTGACCCTGAGTTCATCAGCCTCAGCAGCCAGCAGCTGCCTGAGTTAAGAGACACCTCCAGCTCTAAGTGGGCCTTGAACAGGAGGCAGGGCTGAAGAACCCCAAAGCTGAGAGGCCTTCCCCCAACCCTTAGAGCTTGCTCTGAACTTGGACTTCTAACCTCCTAAACTGTCAGAAAATAAATTCCTGTTTGTTTCAGCCACCCCCTTGCTGTATTTCTAGAGAACCGAGACACCGAACACTTTCAGTAATCACACGCGTTGACCTGAAGGGGCTGTGGAAGCCCCTTTCCCGGGGCGAGGAAACAGCATCGGAGTGGCCAGGGCTGCTCAGTGACAGCAGAGCCCGCCCGGGTCCAGGCGCTTGAGTGTGTACTGAGCACACCCCCTCCTGTAGTCGTTAAACTAGGACCGTGACTCCTGAGCTGTAGGGAAGGAAGAAATGCCAGGCCATCCTCTTTGAAATCTCCACAAGTTCTAGCAGCTTCTTGGCTTGCATCGGCCAATTCTAACACCCCAATTCACACTCACCCACCCTGAGGGGGAGTCACTAATAGGGTCCTGACACGGTGGAGGCCACTAAGGAGGGAACCTGACAGATAGCCACTGTGGATGGGGCCTGAGGAAGTGAGATGACGGGGTCACAGAGGGGGGGCTGAGAGTGGGATCCTAACTGGCCTGAGGCAGTGAGGGGTATCACTGAACGGGGGCCCTGAAAGTGAGGTCACTGTGGGCTGAGGGGCCTGAGAGTGGGGGGTGGGTCCCTGAGCAGACTGAGGGGCCTGAGAGTGGGGGGTCATTGTGGGCTGAAGGGCCTGAGGATCCCTGAGCAGGGCGAGGGGCCTAAGAGAGTGGGGGGCTGTTCTGGTTCCCTAGTGCCGCTGACAAGAATATGCCACAGATGGGATGGCCTTAACAAACAGGAGTTTATTCTTACAATTTGGAGGCTTTATGTCCAAGTTCAAAGTGCCAGGCTCTAGGGGCTGGGTGAAAGTCCCTCGACCTTGGGCTTCAGCTCTGCCTCCTGCTCCTGGCCACTGAAGGTGGAGGCTTTTCTTCACTCAGACAGCTGCTGGCTGCTGAGACTGACAAACCCAAGGTTGACAAATAAAAGGCACAGTCTTGATGTTACCAAACCACATGGCAGGCCATTAATTCAAGTCCAGGTCAGAAGAGCATGGCAGGCTGCTGAAAATGACATGGCTACATGCAGGGGTCAAGTGTGCCATAAGCTAGAGACCTTTCCCAAAGCTGTTTCTTATATACAGGAAGCTGACCACATCCCTAAGACAGCTACTCAGCTGCTCCGATAGATTCCACCACAGAGTTGATAACCAGTCTCATCATGGGGAATACTACATCCAGTTGCCCAGCCACTCAATGGCCCAGCCACTCAACAGCCCAGGCAAATTAACTCACAACCTTAATTACCACAGGGGGTGGGTCACTGTGGGCTGAGGGGCCTGAGAGCGGGGGTCACTATGGACTGAGGGGCCTGAGAGTCAGGGGTCACTGTGGGCTTTGTGGCCTGAGCCGGGGAGTGTGTTCACTGTGGGCTGAGGGGCCTCACAGTGAGGGATTCCTGAGCAGGGTGAGGGCCTGAGAGTGGGGGGTCATTGTGGGCTGAGGGGCCTGAGAGGACGACTAAGCTTGACCAATGAGGGACCAGAAATGCCATGTTCTGTGCAAGATTCAGGTCGTAGTTCCAGTGCTTATGTGAGGTGTGTGGTGTGTGTGTGGACAGGTGTAGTATGTACATGTGGTATGTGTACATGTGTGAGTGTATGTGAAGAGTGTGCATGGTACATGCATATGTGTGAGTGAAGAGATGGGGTATACATGTGGTGTGATGTTATGTCTACGTGGTGAGTGTGTACACATGGTGTGAATGTGAGTATAGAGGTGGGGTGCGCATGTGTGGTGTATGGGTATATGGTTAGCATGTACACGTGTGGTGCTGAAGTGTATATGAGTGCAGAGATGGGGTATATGTGTACTATGGGGATAATGGTGATGTTATGTGTACATGGTAAGTTATGTACACGAGATGTGAATGTATGTGAATATAGAGGTGGGGTGTACAAGTGTGATGTGCATGCTAGTGTGCCTATGTGTGGGGTGTGTGTATACGGTCAGCGCATACACATGGTGTTGAGTGTATGTGAGTGCAGAGATGGATTGTAGGTGTGATGTGGGGTGTGGGGCATGGGTGCACAATGTGTCTGCACTACGAGGGGCCCGTCGTTCTCGGCAGCCCCCACCAACGTGGCGCCAGCTGTGGAAGTTTCAGATCCCACGTCTGGAACATGGGGGTACCTCCGCTCCCGCATGGAGAAGAGGCGGCCGCAGTTTTTAGGAAAGGATGCTTTGCTGTGAGCAAGAACAAGTGACCGGTTTTCAGTTTTTTATTTGGTGTTAACGCCACATGAAAACAAAAAACCCAGCCCCTCTGGTGAACGTGAAATCGGAAGGATCCAGCCGGCCGGCCGCCGAGCAGCTCCCAGGATCTGGGTGTGAGCTCGCGTCAGCACGCGGCGCGGCTCGGTCACCGCTTTTTCTTTGTGATCATCCATTCACCAAGCTAAAAACCACGCTTGCCACTCTGATGCCGAAAGCCTCGGAGCTTCAGCCACTGGGAACAAATAAATACATCAGGAGTGCCTCAACCCCGCGCCCCTGCGGCCCGGGGAGGCACAGACGCCACTCGCCTTGCCCTCCGTGGGAGGTGCCATCCCCGGCCCCCTGGGAGGTGCAGACCCCCTGGGGCCGCTCATGAAGGCAGCCGTCCAGAAGCCACGGGACTGAAGGTCTGTCGGCGACGAGCCCTGGTCTCTGCCACAGCAACGGCCCCACAGTGACCCGGGGACTGAGGCCAGTTCTGTTGGCTGGTCACTTCCACCTCAGTGCAGAGGCCAGGCTGTGTTTAGGAAGCTCCAGGATAAAGAAAGCGACACAGACCTTCTCTGGACTCTGTAAATAAATACCAGCGACACAAACCCTTCCACGCGCCCACGCACACGCACATGCACACGGCCACACACGCCCACTTTAAAGTGTCGAAAGACAGGCTGCTCAGCGGCAGCCCCAGCTGAGGGACCCCGGCCGGGACCCCACGACCCCACAGCCTGCGGCACCGCTCGCGGTCACCACCCAAGAACCGCAGCAGAGCCCGGCGCCCCCATCGCACGGCCGTCCACGGCCAGCTCGGCTCCCGGTGGCAGACCGGGGACTCGCCCGAGGCCCACCGGGGGCCGCACGACGCCGTCAGGTCCAGGCGCCCGGCTGCTGTCACAGAGCCGAGGTCTCTGACAGCGAGTTGTTCTAACAGGAAAACAAGCGAAAACGTCCAGGTTTTGGAGACGCTGCCCCAGCCACACCCTGCCGCCCAGCGTGCGCCTGCAGGAGGCCGCGCCAATCGAGGAGCTGAGGCCGGCAGCGAGGCCTCGCGCGCTCGCGCCCCACTCCCACCAGCCACTCGCCCCCCCCACGGCGAGACGCGGACCGAGCCGTGGCTGCGGCGGCCAGGGCATCGTGGGTGGTGTGCACAGTGCCTCGCACGCTTCCAGTCGCGAGTCTGGGGGTCACCAGAGAAGAGGAGCATGTAACCGAGGTCCTCAGCCCGTGCTGCTCCAAGCACCCCCAAGTGGAGCTTGGGGTAACAGGCCCCGTCCCCGTCCCTGGCTTCTTCAGGAAGCAGGAGAGGCCGCGCGGTCCACGAGGCTTCGGAGGAAACCCTACGAGGCCGCGGCGGCGGCGGCGCGAAGTCCGGTGCCAGCAGAGTCTGCCGCAGGGCCCGGCGGCCGCTGCAGGGGCGCGGGCGCCCGTCCTCCGAGCACAGAGCCCGCGAGCCCCGCGGCGGTCCCGCAGGCGGCGCTAACAGGTGGAAGGGCTGCCGGAGATGCAGAAAGCGTGGTGTTCCTAAGGCAAGCACATGCACACCCAGCCGGATCGGACAACACAGTCTAGTCTACTTCACACAGCCAAGAATTAACAGCGTGGGGGAAACTCTTCCACGGGGTAGCTGGCCTCAGCTCTAGAACAAGCAAGAAGAGAGACAGGGTTACTGGCGGGGCCCCGCGGACCCAGGACGCCAAGCTATGCGTTGGCGTCACAGGCCTCACAAGGGTCGCTTCCCGCCGCGATTGTCCCCGACACGCTACTCGCCGCTTCAGAGGTGGGTTCCAGAAAAGAGCTCCTCTTCGCCGGGGCCCGCCCATCCGCCCCCGCCCTCCGAGCGCCCTGCGAGCCGCCGTCCTCGGAGCCGGTGTCCTCTCTGGCCGAGCTGGTCCCGGAGCCCACCTTTCTGCGGAAGCCGTGAGCCTGTGCCCCCGAGAGCCTCTCCCCAGCGCAGCGGGCTTCATACACGGAGGACACCTGGTGGCGACACAATCCCGCAGTCACCGGCAGCCCGGGAGCCACGCTGCAGACGCAAGGCGTGGGTGACAGGAGAGCCGCCCGGGGGTCAGGAAGGGCCCACGGACGCAGGCGCTCGCGCGCCCGAGCACGTCGGCTGTGGGGAGATCAGGCAAAGCCCGCCTCTCACTTTTAAGCAATCCCTGCGCGCCGATCGAGGGGGCAGGCACGGCGTGCCAGCCCAGCTCACGCTCCACACAGCAAAGCTTCAGGGTGGGCAGATGGTCAGGGGTGGGGATGGGAGCAAGCAACAGACTGCACCGCGGGCCACCAGGGTGGGGGCGAGAAGGGAGAGGGGCCCGCGGCCACCCCAGGCTCCCGCTCACTCTGGGGGACGCCCCACACCAAAGGAGCCCTGGCAACGCAGTGGGTAAGCACGTGGCCGGCTGCTAACCGAAAGGCTGGCGCGTGGACCCACCTAGCAGCTCTGTGGAAGCGAGCCCTGATGACCTGCTCCCAGAAAGATGAACCCACAAAGGAAGCCCCATGGGGCAGCTCTCCTCTGTCCCTCGAGGGGTCAGAACCAACGTGACGGCAGCCAACAAGGTGCTAGGCCAGCCTCAGCTATGCTTGTCCCTCAGTGGTGGCAACTCTCAGCTTGAAGACCCGTAGCCACTACCCAAAAAGTCGGAGGCTCCAGTCCCCCCAGAAGCAGCACCTTGCAGGAAGGGCCTGGCCGTGCGCTTTAGAAGAGTGGCCACGGAGTCCCTGTGGGCGCAGTCCCCTCCCTGAGGGTCACAAGTCGAAGCGACCCGCCCACACACAGCTCTGGGGACAGTTGTCCTCATAGCCACTTGTTACCTTGCACTGTGACACCCTGTCTGCTGGGTGGGTGAACCACAGCGAGAAGGCCATGGTACTAGCCATCTCTTCCCTGGTTTCCAATGGGGGCACTCTCTTGCTGGAGAGGATGAGGCGGCACCAAGGACGTGGCCACCCCCAGAGAGGAGTGCAAACAAGGGCACGTGGTCCAGGCCGACGGGCCCAGCGGGTTTTAAGTCAGTGCACTGATGAAAGGACCCTGTGGGCAGGGGGGTGGCTTCCGGGCCCCAGCCGCTCACTCAGAGGATCCGTGCTGGGGGGATGTGACCCGGGGTCCAGGCTGCCGTCCAGCACAGAACAAGAAGCAGGGACCGCACAGTGCCATGCAGCATGGGGACAAGCAGTAGGGCGGGCTACTCACCCTGTTGAAGTCCAGCGGGCACTCACTGCTGGGCACGTTTTTAACTTCAGGGTACTCTCCCGCACCGTTCTCCCCCTTGGCGTTCGCGTAACATTCTTCATTGTCGTGAGAAGGGGAAAGAGAGGGGTGTCTGTGAAGACTCAGCTGTGGCGCACACATCCGTACACATTCTCCCCTAAAGCATCGTTACTGCTTTTTCCCAGCCCTCGGAGACCTAAATGGTTAACTGGCAGGAGGCCATGTGTCATCCATCCAGCGTTTGCCAGCACAGAGAGCCACCAACAGTCCGTTCACCAAACTTTCAACAACATGGGACGGCCTTCTCGCTGTGGTTCACCCACCCAGCAGACAGGGTGTCACAGTGCAAGGTAATAAGTGGCTACGAGGACAACTGTCCCCAGGGCCAGCCCTCCAGAGCAGAGGCTGTGGGGACAAACCAGGCATCATGCTGTGGTGGGACAGACGGGCCACGGGGCTCTGGACAGACACCTTTGTCTGTCCTTCTGTGCCTCCAAGGCCCACTGTACTGTGTCCGTGCAGCAGGGACGAGAAGGCACTGACCCAGCTGGTTGAGCGCCCGCAGACGGGTGGAAGGGACCAGACGGAGCCGACGCCCCTGGGCCCAGGTGGTGCTCACACAGGAGGCAGGAGCCCGGGTCCCTGTTCTGGGGTCAGGCCTGGGTCTGGGCCCCTGATGCATAGCCAGGGCTGATAAAGTGTGCGGGGTGGGGGCCGGCTGGCAGCGCCACGCTGCGGCAGTCGTACCTCGGAGTGGCTGTTTCCTCAAAGTAGGTGCCATCCCTCCCGTCACCCAGTACAGGCACCGACAGGCCAGGTGACAAGCGAGGACCAGGGTGGTGCTCAGTGAACAGGTAGCCAGCGCCCCACAGGGTGGCGGAGGTGGGGCTGGGTTGGCCTTGCGGGGCGCACCCCAACTGTCCTGTCTCCCCCTGGCCATCAGTCCTAGGCTCTGGGAGTGGACAGACCTGGGGCCAAGCCCTGGCGGGGCCACTCCCTGGAGGTGTAATTTGGGGCCAGCTCTTTGTCCCAGAGCAGGGACGTGAGCCCTGCCCTCACCGCGCGGTGCTGCACTAGCAGCGGGCACTGCTACAACATCGCCGGAGCCAGGCCGGGGCTCAGCTGGGGGCACGGCCCGTTCTCTGAGGGCCTGCACAGCCACTGCAGCACTCCCCCGCCTCTATCAAGGCTGAGCCCTGCCTCCCCTCACACCCTGGGGCGTGTTCAGGAGAGCAGTGCAGGCAGCCCCCACAATGCCCGGGTCTGACTGGCCACTGGGCGCCGTCCCCCCACCTGTGCGAGCACCACCCTGATGTCATGGCTGGTGGCTGGGAGTGCTGTCCTGACGCCACTGGCTCTGGGAGGTGAGGTGGCCCCTCGTGCACTGGCTGGACTGTACCTGAGACAAGATGCCCCAGCCATAAGCTCAAGGAACAGACTCACAGGGCTGTCTCTGCGCCCCAGCCCACGGTCTGTTCAGGGGACTGGGGACCCGGGCCGGAGCTGGACTTGTAAGTAGTTCTGGGAACGCTGGACACCAGCGCCAGCAGCACCATCAACACCAGCCACCTCGAGCACCCCAGGGCGGCCCTCAGCTCCGCGGCCCGCAGGCAGGCAGGCGGCCCGCAGGCAGGCAGGAACACACGGGGCGTGTGGGCACGCAGGGGTCCCGCTCATCTGGCCTCCCGCTAACTGTGCTCCCCCAGCCTCAGCGGCCTGGAAGGTGAGCTCATCGCTCACGTCACCTGGCGTCCGGCTGCAGCCCACTGAGAGGACGGAGGGGACCGCCCCCCTTGCACCCTGCCCACTGCCGCTGCGTGATTTGGGCAAAGATCAAAGGTGAGACCCCGCTCCCCCTCCTCTGGAAACCGGGGGCTGCCTCAGGCTCCACGGGACCAGGCGAACCAGAGCCGCATCCGCGACGCTGACAACTGCGCCCAGGCCGTCCTCCCCGAGCGCCACCACGGCCCCCGCTGTCACCCCACCTTCACCTGGGCCTCCTCCACAGCCTAGTGCTCTTCCCCATCGCCGCCCTGGGCTGGGGGTGTTCAGAGACACAGGGAGCCTTGACCGTGACCCCGGCTTGAACACTTCCCGCCTGGCACACTCTCCCACGGAGCTCACAGCCCTCCCCAGGCCCCTGCCCGCCTCCTCTCCCGCCTCAGCCACCTCTGGCCAAGCCCCGTGGGCCCTGCTCGCCCGCGCTCCTCGGACCTGGGCTCAGTGAGGCCACTCTCTGGCAGGACACCTGCCCGCGGCCCCACCCCTCCGGAAGCCATGATTTCGTGTCTCCCCACACCCACCTCCCGGCTCTGGGTCCTCCAGGGTGACACAGTGCCCGCTCCGTGGAACCCGCTCAGCAAACACGCCCCGGGGCGAGGCAGCGGACAGCCCGTTCTCCTGTGAGCGCGTGCGTGTGAGGTGACCGCGCACACACCGTCCTTACCTTCACACTCGGACGCAGGGAAGAGAGGCGAGAACAGGGCTTTTTCCCACCAGGTCGGTTTCTCGTGACATCTCCGTGCTCCCTGAACATCTGTGTTCAGCACAGGAAACTGGACCCAAACAAACAGACACGGTGAGGCAGCATCTGGGACGAGGGCACCCCGGCGCTGACGAGCAGGGCTGCAGATCCATTTCAGCTGGTGGGGCGCCCCACCGCTCGGGCCAAAGGGGGTGAGAAAACCCAACGTGCTCACCGGATACCCATAAAGCTAACCACCAGCGTGCTCAGAACGCAAAGCGTGTTTTTCTGAGAAGCACCGACGTGAAGCTGAACGAAAGAAAACCTTAAAAAACAGTAAAAAGCCCCGCTCTTCCGAGGCAAGCCGTGAACCACACTGGGAAACTGCCGACTCGGGTAACCCCTGCCCCAGGCGGGGGTGCGGAGGAGCAGAGGCCACTGCTGAGGCCGAGTGACCTGACCTGTCCGTCAGGCGTGACGCAGCGCAAGGCCCACCGGGGCCGGAGCAGCCCGCGGGGCAGCCCGGGGCTCGGACCCCTGTGTCTCCAGGGCCGCCTCCAAACAGGCACAGCCCCAGAGAGACCCCGCCACCTTCCCAGGCAGCTGGACACCTCGAAGGCATGTACCCACGAATGTTCACTCAGACTGGCAGCCTGGGGCACCTGCACCGCAGGACTGGGAGGCCTGGCGGCACCGCACGCACCTCCTCAGACGCCGTCGTGTTGACGACCTGAACCGTGCTGGCGACTGGTGACTGACCGTTCCCTGACAGGACCTTCCTCCACACATGAAACTGTCCACTACTCCAAGGATCGGAAACTCTGTCCTTCAGGAATGTGACCTTTTAATTATGCCACCGAAAGGAAAACACGCTTCAAACTCCCACTTCTACATAACTTTGCAGAAAAATCCATCAAAGCCTGAGCAAGACAGGGCCCCCAGCCTGTCTGCCCCAGTACTTACCCCTAACGGTGAAAATCCATGTGGCCAGGCAGCAAGACGCCAGGCCAAGGGGACGGCCACACCAAGCCTGACGCCAACCTGGGCAGCCTGCAGGGCAACTGGAGGCCCCGGGCACAACCCCCACGGCTCTTGTGTCTCCCAGGGACCCCCCCCTTAGAAAACCACGAAGCGCTGCTCAGGGAGTGACGAGGGTGCCACTGGGAATGGCCCTGCCCCCCTGCTGACTGTCGAGATGGTGGCTCCGGATGGGCTGGTAGTCACTGGTGTGTGACGTGTGGGGATACTTCCACCACCACCTCTTCCTCCTCGGCCGCACTCTGCGCACACGAGGCATGAGCATTAGTGGTGGGCGGAGCCGGGAACAGCAGGGTGGAGGGGACAGACACATGGAGCGACTCGTCAGCAGGGCAGGACCAGAGGCCAGCCTCGGAAACCCAACAGGGGTCGCTCTGAGTCGGAACTGACGCGGGGGCAATGAGTGTGGCTTGGCTCGGTTCCCGAGGCCCCGCTGGAGACCGTCAGGCGTGAGACCATCAGGCGGATGAACGTGCAGGTGTTAAGCCTCTGTCCTTCCTCCAGCTGCCTCCAACCCTGGGGCTGCATGGCGAAGCCCAGAAGCTTCACTCACTGAAGGGCTCAGTGCACAAACTCCAATCCCGGTTTTAGTTACAAACGGAAGCAAATCGGAGAACCAGAGTGAAGCAGGCCTACGGCTCAAAACAGGATCCACGCACCGCCCCGTGGACCGACCCCATCACTCTCCCAACCTCCATCTTCCGACCACTTGCATCCCAGCGTGACGAGGGGCCGGCCATCTGCCACTCACACCTGCACTCAGCTGGCCTCTGACAGTATCTGGCAGATGGCGGACATGGAGAAAGGAGATGATGCCAACGAGACCAGCAGGAGAGTGACACCTGTGCTCCCAGAGACAGGCCACAGCTTGGAGGCCCCCCAGGAAGGCACTTGTTCCAGCTTCTTGTCAGACACTTGAAGCCTCACTCTGAGGTTAGTTCTCCCCTTGGGTTAGGCAGGCTGGCCATGTCTCCGCTGAGCCACCACCCGCAGCCCCTGTGGAACGCGGGTCACAGGCCCAGTACCCATCCCACCCGTCACCCCCACCACGTTGCCGCACGCCCCACAGAGGTGAGGGTCTGGCCAGGCAGACGACGTGCGTCGTCCGGTGCAGTACTGCAGGGAGAAGGGCAGCCAGCCACAGCCAGGATGAAGCTGTACTGTGCGCTCAGGGAGGGCGGCGGAGCTCGGAAACGAGTCTGCACCCGCGGCTGAGACGGCACTCGGGGTCCACTCAGCAAAAGCAGGACGGGCGGCCTTCTCCCGGTGCGAGGACCAGGCCCTGTGCACGTGGCGCTGGCCGCTGCTCCGCCAAGCGCACGGTCCCGGAAGGACGCCTGACGGCCACGCGCCGGCCTGGCACAGGGCTGACCTCCACACAGGGGTTCCCAGGCTGCCCTCTGAAGGCCCCGGGAACGGGGAGAGGAGCGCTGTGCTGAGCTCCCAGACCCTACTAGGTGGCGTCACCTCGGACCACCGGCCCGTCAAGGCCTCGGGCTCCTCAGCACACCGGAGCGGGTCAGGTGCGACACTGCCAGGACCGACGACCCCCAGATGATCAGCTAACCCCGAAAGGTCCTGGGAATTTCGCAGCGGCTCAGAGCCTCGCAGAGCGCCCGGGACTCTGCCGGCACCGAGAGGCATGGAGCCAGGCAGCAGTGCACCGGGGGCGCTCAGCCTGCCTCCTCCTTTCGAACCCGGAGCCAGGCGACAGAGAAAGGGCGCCCCAGGCGTGAACGAGCCAATGTCTCCGATTTTCCACGAGCCCACCCTCAGGCTTTCGGGTCCTCCAGAGCCGCAGGAACCCCACCACTGGGGCCCTTGAGGCCACCTGACTGAACGGGGACAAAGGCGCGGTCTACGTCCGCTGGGAGCTGACCATTTAGGCAGCAGAGGCAGCACGTGACTGAGGTACAAAAGATGGCGCACACACACACACACACACACACACACAAGCGAAAACAAGAAGTGTAGGGGACCAGACGCGGAAACACAGACCCGGACGGGGCACGGATAAGGCGGAGCGCAGGGAGAAGAGGGCGGGGCG